AAATCACCACTCTTGCTCACCTCCAGTTCCTTTTTCTCAACCTGCTTCTTCACCTTCGATTGTGATACTCCCCCTTTCACCTCTTCTTCGTTCTCCTTTTTCTGACGTGGAATCCATCTCATCTGTCCTAACTCAACGAATTTTTCCCGACACCTCCCCCCTTTTCTGTTCTTCCTTTCCCGCTGACTCAACTTCGAGCGTAGAGTTCATAGTCGAAATTCCCTTACCTCGTCCTCATTATTACTATCACCACGGCTATCACCAATCTTTAAATTCCTTCTTTTCGCAATTTCAAATTTCCACCGATCTTCTTCCTCCAGATACCTTCATTTATAGTCTTCAAAAACGCGGATCCCGACGAAGTCCGAAACACTATAACCGGACAATCTCCAGATGCTCATATCTCTGTCTTCCTTCCCCAATCTCTCCATCCTTTTCTAATCCCAGTAGCGTTTTTCTTAAATTTCTTTCCCCCCTCCTTATGCACCATTAACGAAGCTCAATAGAATTTTTTTTATTGTTTTAGTTTTATTCCATTTCCATCTGCCCCGCAATTTATTTCCTTCGAACATACACACGCTCACTCACTTAATTATACGACACCTTTTCTTTGTATTTATTATTTAGGTCCCAATTGGTGTACGCTGACACATACACACACATACAGCAAACGTTCACACATCACGCATGTCGTTATTTATCCAATAAATCCTAAATCTTAATTTAACCATGTAAAAACAATAAGCTGTAAAATGTTATTCAATATGCTAGTTGACTCTAATAAATAAATGTATAATTTACATATATACACTACGCACAACAATTAGGGGATCACTTTGAAACTTACAAATTTGGTTGATATTTAAGAAACTGTATCTCTTCCAGAGATCGTAGGACAATTTTTCTGGGTGCATTTTAAAGGGTGAAACGTCTACTTTGAAACTGTTAGTATTTGCCGTCCCATCAAATGGTTTTTTTCACGAAGACCAGAAGCAGATCGTGTTAAAATTCTGAAAACTTTGCGACTTTCCAACTTTCCACGAGCAAAATACAAATAGGTCGAAAAATTTTATTACATGCATTTTAAAGTTTGAAACGTTTCCTTTGAAACGAGACCTCGACCATTACTCTAGCATGCCTAGAAGCTGAGTTATCAGATTCCAAAGGGAACCTTATATTTTGTAAGATTTTGGGTAATTACCGCCGGGGTATTCGCGATATGCACCACGGGGAGGTTGCTCGGTCGGAATTTGCGCATCATGTGCGTGAACACTGTTATGCGTTCTATAATTATAAAGTCGTGCACGGTATACAGACATAACAAGGAGGATAGCTCTCGCACATACATACACGCCTATACATACACACGTATATACGCATTCTACTACGAACGAGGAGCGGTGAGAACAAAGAGTCGACGTCCTGGCCGTGGTCCTGGCTTAATCGCGTTAGGCGCCATGACACCGCGTTCTCAAAGAATCCGCCGCGTCTTTCATCTGTGCCGAAACCTGGGAAATTGGCGATATCTCCGGCCATTTGACCTTGGAAATAAGACCTTGAAAATAAGACCTTGAAAATAAGACTCCGACATTTTCGGCTTAGTGGAGGGGATCGGGCCCCGGAAAATCGTCCACGAATCCAAGGCTACGTTCCGTTTCACACATGATGCGCACGATGCATCTTTTATCCTTGCTATTCACCGAATGTTAAACAAGGATAAATGATGCATTATGCACATCATGCTTGAAACGGAACGCAGCCCAAGATTATCGAATCAGTCCCGATTAGCTCACGGTCCTACACGCATCCGTGTGAGAGCAAGTCTAGCGATCCTTACAATTATTATATTCGTGGCATTCGAGTTTTGATTGTGACACGGTGAGCTCTCATCGTAGTCTTAGAGATCCTCTCGAACTAAACGTAACTCAAGGCGAAAGCCTCAGACGTTCGTAGCGTGTCTGCACCGATCCAATGACTCAGGGTAACAACCCTCAGGCGGTGTCGGAATCGGTTGAAAGTGTATCAATACACGGACATCTTACGCGAGTGTACAATTATACGCGATTGTGACAATTATATTGCGACAGTACTTGAGTATGATGTTCTGAAAGTGAATTGTACGCGAGTGAACAGCACGCGAGATTGTTCGCGTAAAATTCGATTCTTTATACATATATATTAATAAATGGAATTTATCAAACCTGTGAATGTGTGAGCTCATTGCGAAACATTTGTCGGGACCTTAAACGAAACCACAGTGCAATCGTTCGTGCCGGCTGTGCTGATAAACAACACAACAAACACAGTCAGAGATAAGGACCTCGAGGTTCGTCTCATTCCATCCCCTTCCACTCGGATGCATGCGAGACAAAGCATCTGCTCTAACGTCCTTGCATACTTCATCCTTCTCATTCCTTTTTTCTCTAAATCAATCCATTCATATATTAGGAGTTGGACGTAACATAGAACAACGTTGTGTCACACGAGATAGAAATTAATAAAATATGATACAAAGAAAGATATGATAATATTATAGATATAAGGATAACAACTCGCAAATGAAAATGTACACAGATAATCAATATAATAAAGAATTATATTCTCGAATCAAGCTATCTACTTTAATCTAGAACAGGAACGTACGCATGATAAGTCGATGTTTTTTTAAACCTTGTAAACTATTCCTTTTAATTATGCTCACAATAAAAACTGTAACAATATAAACTTTAATATTGATTTTGAATAACAAGGAAACACATCCAAGTCTTCCTCCGATTTTGATAAGTTTTTTTATATGTTAAAATACAGAAATAAAAAAACATGTATTTTTTATAAGCACTCAATTGAACGCTTAAAAGAATGAAATCTTTTCTTGAAAAAAATCGATTTCTTTCTTTCTGACAAGGGAACCTCGCGAGGTGTCAAATTCTGATTTTAATGAAACTTTGTGAACTTGTAGCTTACATAAAGAGATTAATTTAGAAAATATCAGTTGGGGCGAAAAACCAGTTTGAAGGAGTGAAATCACCACTTACGTGTACAGCGGTTTTCAGCTTTTTCCGTTATATCTCGAAAACTCTTCGAGATATTAAAAAATGTTTTATACAAAAGTTTTACAACAAAATTAGCTGTATAAAATTTGCTGTTATACGAATATAACAGAATTTGCATCAAATAAAGGTATCTTTTTGTTGCTAAAATTTATAGCAAGCATTTGAATTTATTTTCAATAGACTTGCTGGATTTGACTTATTTGGAACATAATAAAGGAACACACAAAGGTCAACAAAAAATCAAAATGATTTTATTTTGATTCTTAATATCAATAAACAGTTAAATTTTGTAATAAAAAGATCATCGTAATTTTGACTTCCATGACGTTAAAATAAAGTCATTTTAATTTTCTCTTGGCTTGGTGTATTCTTTGAGGAACTATTAACACGTTAAATGTTAACACACTGGTAATGTAAACACACTGGTGGTCCCGGCGTGGCACTTAACTTTTTGTTTAGGCTACGCCGGTCCCTGTGTATCGAGGATAAACATTTTGTTTAGATGACGTCAGTCCTTGAAGAATTTAAAATAATAAGTGGAGAATATAAATATAAGCGCGTGTTGAGTCTCTTTTGCACAGTTGCCTGGATGGTATTGTGTGGCATAAACGGAAAGTGAAACATAATAGGCATGGCACTTAACGTGTTAATTTAGTTAGTTCATAGAACTTAACAAGTTTTAGGTATACAGATGTACAGGTAATCTTAACACTTCTAATAATGTTCTACTTATTGTCAGCTGCTCACAAAATATTCATAAGATGTCCTCTTGGGATCATCATTATGGTTTATTCTATTATTATACCTATGTAAAAACTCTACTTTATAAATGGCTAGTCCTATCCTGTAGTTCGGCATGGAAATATTTTGTCGACTGACAAAACATTCATAATAGATATTCTATTAGAAGTCCTATCAGGATATATTATATTATTTGTTGTATCGAATCACGTTGAAAGATGTGGAAAGCATTCGTAGAAAATACATTTTATTGTAATTATTATTTATATTTTACACTCGCCTGCGCGACAATATTTTATAAATAGCTTATTTATACACTTGGCAATGAAGTAGTTTGTGCCAATGTTAATATTAATTGATATATATCATTATATTTATATTATGGCAGCAAGGTATCGCGTTTCGGAATTCTTGATTATTCGGTACGTGCTGTGATAGTGCCTCATTAATTATATATACATTACATAGGACATTATCCCCAAAAGTGTCTGCATACCTGATGTTAATCCCAGTGAGAAATGACAATGGAATCGACGTCGAATCGATATCGATTCCATTGTCATTTCTCATTGGGATCAAAATTTCACAAAGAAACTTAGAAGCTTATAATTTCGACCAAGATTATATTAAGATTTAACACATACGTGTGAAAGAAAATAAATTAGAATCATTCCTAGCGATAGGAACTCTAACAAAGATTCATTTATATGTACACGTCAATGATTCGCTCAAATTATATAATATATATATTTATATAAATATTAACATAGAAAATAAATTAATAAATTATGTGCGAGAGGAAATACTTATTCAAATTTACTCATTCCTATATGATCACACAAACGCACGAAACCAATACTTTATTATTTGTTCGTATCTATCATATGCCCAATTTCTTCACTTCCAGATAAGTTGCGGATAACTTTCCTATCCAAGAGATATCCCATTGTAATTCTGGAAGATATCCCCTGGATAAAGTTATCTAGAGGTAAAGAAATTGGATATTAGTGATCCTGTACATAACAGTCGTATCGTACATGCAGCTATATGGCTAGATCAAAGTATTCTCACTGTACATACAAAACGAAACAATACTTAAAACAACGATCGTTAGCGTCATATATTTTACAATACCGGCGACTAGCCAAAACTTTTAACAGTTTCTCGTGTTTGGACAGTACATGTATATATACGTGTATTCTCGGCGAGAATTCAATTTATCATCGTTATGATCACGATAATGATAATCTCTTTGTCACGCAGCCGCTCTGTTATCTGTTTATTAGCAGGCTTCCTTTACAAAAATCTACGAATTTTTTTCTACGTCTCGGAATATATTTACAGCGCGTTAATTAGCGATAATTATAATTTCTGATTTATATTTTAATTAAACGGTATTTTTTCTTATGCAAATTTGACAACTACGGGCTGAATAAAGATGCAATTAACTTCGATAACGAGAACAAGTCGACTCCCCTTCGTTCTTTAAGACAGAGTTCTAACTTTACTTCAACTGAATTCGTTAAAGAATCTGTGCTCGGGGGGGAAAAAGGGTCGCGCGCGGACCACCGAGAACAATTATAATTGTACAACTACATACAGTAATTATAAAACTACATGGGATGTACGGCGTCCTTTGTGTTCTGCCCTGATATCCTCGTGAGGGGCTCTTCGTCGAGATCGGTGGAGATTTGATTCCAATGTTCGTCTTCCTCATTCTCCTCGTCGTGTAACGAATCTTTTCTGAAGAGCATAGTTGCAGTTTTTTATATGTATATTAAGATACACGTCACTATTTTAATGTAATAAAAATTGAGAGCAAGAAGAAATTAGAAAAAAATATGGCTTTTCACCCAGAGAAAGGGTTTCTTCGATTCAAAGAAATTAACATTTCTTTCCCCTTCTTAACATTCTTAACAGTCCTTTGTCCCCTTCCAATTGTCTTTCCTATTTCTTTGTTTCCCTTTTGTCATAACGTCGCTGTACGTCGTCGAGGATATATCCAACAGTATTATGGCTTATTTCTTATTAAACATAACTTTGTCGATTGCGTTTTCTTCTCGGCGTCTAACTTACATCATTAAGACAATTTAAGGTATATTTATTTATGTAATTTAATTGTTACTAATTTAATATAAAATGTACATACTCGATAATTTAAACTGTAACGCAATGTCAAGTTATTATTTATTTGTGGGATTGTAGAATTGTGAAAAGTGAGATGAGATTACCTTTAAGATATTTTAAATATGGACTGCATACTGGACATTATAATGTAACCGAAAATTTCCGATAATTTATGTAATAATGTTTTGTTGTTTTACATTGAAAATGACCCGATCGGTGTCGAAACGTTTGTATATGTACGATTATTAAATATCTTACAGTATAATTGGCTCGTTGTCCTTCTTTTATTTATTGATTTTCTCTAAGTATTCGAGCAACTTTAATTAAAGTGAAGATTTAATATTTAAATTCTCTTTCTCACGAAAATTCCTGTGAGCTACATCGGACAAAATTCTAGGAATTTTTCAAAGTTATCAGTTTTTTAAACCTAATCAAAAAATTACAGATGGTTATATGATATCAGAATTATATTACTAACTGATACTTGTTATCGGATGGCAGGAATAAAGATTTTGGACAGTCCTTGAAGTAAGGCCAGCACTCGCCGTGAGACTTCCCACGGTTTTCCGCTTCGACGTATTCTTTGAGGAGATTTGCAAACGGCGATCGGCTGGCGCTAAAAACAAAATATCTGGATTGAATTCAACATTATTTTATATGACTCTAAAATGTGCTTATTATGACTATTTACTCTCTAAATTCTTTGAAGTAAAATATTCTAAACAATAAAAATTGTATCCTGAAAAAGGTAAAGAAAATTTTTAATTTTTCACAATAAAGAGTTTAAGTGGCTAATAATTCAAATTAATCAACTAAAGGGCATGTGCCACATTTTTAGTAGCGAGATAATATTTTGTTATGTAAGTACGTCTGTATGTAATTATTCGCAGTCAATTTACAATCGCATTTATATACTTAACTCCATTCTCAGTTCGCAATCTGGATATTACTGTAAAGCAGAGCTGGGATTTAGTTGCACATTTCCGAAAATTGAGAGCAAGAAGAAATGTGGCCGAAATCAGGCCGAAACGTGCAACTAAATTCCAACTCTGCTGTAAAGGATCCTGGACACAGGTATGTTTCAATTTATAATAATTCCGTTTTTAACCGATTTTTATGTTCTAATCGTGCGACTTATTTTGTAAACATTTATCCGTGAATTTTATTGTTGATTATACTGAAGAAGGCCTGATCGAGGCCAAAACGTTTATAATTATTATTTATATACTTACAGAATAAAATATTATCTCGCTACTAAAATCTTGCGTTGTGGCACATGCTCTTTATTTGATTAATTTTCAATTTTTAAGAAAAAATTTCATTTTTCAGAATGACAATAATTCACTCTAAAAGTTTTAGAGAGTACACTTTATGAAACAGAATTATCCGGAACTACTCCAGTCTTCAGAGGTTCCTTACTGCAGTTTTATGAACCGGACTACTCACGTGAAGAATAGCTTCAGCATCTCGCCGATAAGACCAAAGTTATTCAGATGATGTCCTTGGACCTCGCAGATTGCCCTCAATAGGCACGCCTTCCCATTCATTCCCAGCGTGGACAGCATATCCTCGGCAGTGCCATAAAGGAGGGCTCGCTCGCCGCCATGGAACGCGTTTTTTGGCACCTCTGTTATGTCTCGCTTGTGTAATCTACGCTTGATAAACGCCGCGATGAAGTCAGCCATCATCATGCCGGCCTGCCGACTCCTCAGCTTCCTGTCGAAACTTGGCGGCAGAGCGCCGTATGGATTTTCGTTATCCGTCAGGCCCAGCTTGTCAAAGTCAACTGGGAAAAAGATGCATAATTCTAGCATCGAACCAGCAAACAAGCTGACGTTATTTGACATCGTTTCAACGTCTTCAACGTAAAATGACAAATAACGTCAGCTTATTTGCTGGCTCATCTACGTGGCGGATGGACTCACTCGTGAACGGTAGGCTGATGGTCATGTTGCTGAGAAAACCGTAAGGAGGATGCCGGACGAAGGGCAACGCCAACGTCGGCGTGATCGTCATGACAGTGCCGGGTGGCAACGCAATCCGTCCATCGTTCGTGAACCACAAGACCCTCTTCTGCCTGTGATGCGGTGTCTGGTGAGAAGATTCACCCTCGTGAACGGTATCGCTAAATGTAAATGACGACTCTCTCAGCACGGCCAGACCGAGCAGCAGCAGCAAAAGACATCCTCTTTGCGACATTCTGCGCTGTTCGAGTTGCCGCAACGAGATATCTATTAAGAGTGTATTGTCACATAGAGATCTATATTTCTATCAATGTATAACGGATCAGCTTTTATTTTGGTTTAAGGCTCTGGCTATTCACTCTAAATCTGTAGCAATGAAAATTTTACTGCTAACAAAAGTGAGTAGCAAAGTCATTGCTTTAAGTATGGATTTTCACTGCATTGAAGTTAATCTGTCTACTCGTACATAAAGAAGTGGACTATTTCATTCCATCAATCGAAGTAGTTTAAGCATTAGTTAATAATTGCAATGCAAGATGCATTGAATTATTGAATGTTACTGCAAGGAATTTAGCGACATAGAGTTATGTTTGGTATAAATGTACGTTACGGATGAGATAGATCTTCAGACGCATATAATAATAGAAGACTACAAATTGATATATTTTGCGTGATTGTGCATGATGAATTCAAACACTTTGTCACAGATAAGAATTATTTTTTATTTATTTTGTGCTCTGCTCAAAATCTGTCTCCGTAGGTTTTGCTATCTGGATTTGGAAAATGACATTAGTCTGATATTTATTATTCTAACCTCCAAATTCACTCCTTTTTGGAGTAAATTTTTTACTCCAATTATTGAATGGATTTTCTATTCCCATCTTGCAGCAAGATTCACTGGAAGTAGCACTGGCTCAATTGCTATTAACGCCTGGAATGAAATTTCAATTTAAAGCAATGAAATTTCATTGCTACATAGATTTAGAGTGTATGGATCTTCACATTGATGATATCAAAAGCGAGAAAATATATAATGAAAATTCTTGCAAAAGATTTGTCACTCCCGCGTGCATCTCTCGGAGAAGCGAATAGATTCGCCGTCAAAGTAACTGAAAAAAGAAGTGTTTAATTTTAAGATATTAAAATGTTTTGTTCTTATCTTCATTTTTTAAACATTTAGGCCCGATTATTTCATCTTTTGGTAAATTTTAACTGTTGAGTTTAAGTAGCAAGATTACCCAATTACAAGTGCGGATTGCCAGAGTTACCTAACAGGTAAAATTTATCAAAAGGTGAAACAACCGGCCCTTAAAGATATGTTTTACTTTTAAACTTTTTCAATAAACAAAACACCACGTGTTCGGATTGAAAACACTATATATTTAAATCCAAACACATAGTATTTTGTTTATAAAAAAAGTTTAAAGCTAAAACATGTTTAATGCCCATTTCTTCCAATGCAGTTTAACTTTAATCTTGGTTCAATTAACTCTTCATCTTTTTCTAGTTTTAAGAATAAGAAAAAGATGAAGAGTAAGTTAAACTTAGATTAAAGTTAATCTACATTGATAGAAACGGGCATAAGTGTTTAAAAAATGGAGACAAATAATATCTTAAAATCAAACACTTCTTTTTTCAGTTGAGGAGGGAGCTAAATACTCAGCTAAATAAATACCAAAGAGGCGGCATCGACTGTGGGTCGTAGAACAAATTAATCGTTTTATTTGCGAATGAAACATGCAAAGTTGCGTATAATAATTCTCACATCTCTCGATGGCCCAGCGGTACCTCAAGTAGGACAGCGGACCTCGTGAAATTATTTACGATAAATCCCACGACGGGATACTATGTCTCGCATTCACGAGACTTACGGTACCTGCGTGTGTGTTTACTTCGAGTCGGATGTCAAGGAAAAACTTTTCTGCGACAGGTATCGCCGATGGATTTTGTCGTCTACCTTGCTGTCCTCGCCATCGTTGGATGACTTACATCCTGTTCGCGCAAGAACGGACGAGGCACGCGCGAGGGAATTTTCTTCTGATTGATATTCGGGACGGGTAGTGCGCCTCGCGCTGTCCAATTCGATCAATTAGAAACTTAATTTGTGGGTAAGGAGGATAGAGCGCCTCTTAGGGATATAACTGTGCTCCCTCGTCGCACGATAAGCTAAACGTTCATTTATCATGTTGCATGTTGCTGAAAATTCGCATCCAAGAATTATTCGTCGAGGCGCGTCGTAAATTAATAAAACGGAGTGTCTTCGCGAAATCGAGGCTTGGAAATCCGAGGAAATGGAATCCGGAGAAAATTTCACGCTCGCGAAATTTTAGCTTTATTATTAATATTAAGTATTACGTTTCTATTACGTGATCGGTACTCGAGAAAATCAAACGCACACGAGGCGAGATTACGTGGGATAATGCTTTAATTGCAACGGACGTATTATGGAATGTATGTTGATTGTTATCGCGAGCTTCGTGTCGGCACGCAGTTCTTCTTCCCTTTACATCGAACTGCGTGACAACGTGCAATGGCACGTCGTCGCCATCGTCTTACCGATCATTACGGTTACCGGGACATTACGTGTGTGTGTCGAGTTTATTGGGCTTTGGCCATCCGACCGGCCTCCCTATCGGGGAGCCTCCGATATGTAACAGTATATAAACTGCAAAACAACATGATTAAGGGGAATCAGGTGATGCCGGACTGTGCCCTAGAAAAATGCAAGTCGCACGCGCGTTTGCCCGTATACCGTCCTCGTGTCTCATCGCATCGCCTTCGTTTCTTTTCTTCCAAAGCGGGAAACGTTCCTTGTCTCGCGGATCCCGATATACAGGGTGTTTGGAAAGTAATGAAAAATCTTTCGCACAGGGGCAGAATGGACTAAACTGAGGAGAAAAGTCCTTTACCATTTTATAATTTTCGCAATACTTAACAAGGTGTTAATTACTAAAAATTGTCGAAAATTGGTCTTCAATAATTTTTTACTCAAATACTATTAACTTTACAGAAAAACTGTAAGAGACAAAAATTGTTTATTTTCTTCTCATAAGGTTCTGAGAATTTTTTCAGAATTTTTTATCAACTTTTTAGTACTGCATTTTCTTATTTTTACCAATATGAGAAAATACGGTATTAAAAAATTCTGAAAAGAAAGATTTTTCATTACTTTTCAAACACCCTGTATATTTGATATCCTACATTCTCTCTCTCTCTCTCTCTCTCTCTAATATATATATATTTGGAACCATACTCTTTAAATTTTTTTAGAGTGAATATCACTCTGAAGAATGAAATTTCATTCTTAAAGATTAAAAATTGAGCCACTCTTTTTTAAGACTAGCTCAATTTTCACTTTTTAGAGTGATATTCTATTCCAAAGAATTTAGAGAGTACATATAATTATTATAATAACAATAATATAGCAGCTAATTATAATTGTAATAACATGAAATTATAGTCACAAATACCAAAAACTTTTCTTAGTGTAACAGAGTTTGCATATTCACTGTTAAGTATCGAAAGAGCAATGGAAACCCAATCCTTTTCGTTAAATAACATTTTGTTATTTTTAATTTTTATGTATATCAATAAATATCATGTAAATCAATTCATTTCTAATTAGTTTCAAAGTAAACAACATCTAAAAGCAATTAACGTTTGCATTTAGTAAATAATAAATTAAATTTGAATCAAATTTTCAAGTAAATTATTTAAATCCATTGTTTTTGTTAAATTAATGAATATAGGAGCAGTGGCAACCTATAGAAATGATTAAAAGTAACTCAAATCGAGTATAATTCGATATTATAAATTTAACAGTGTTTAATTAGTCATCCCTAAAAAAAAAAATAGAAGAATAACGTTTCTGTGGTTCTTGTATTCGTGCATCTCTCTTATCATCCTCGCTAAATCAGCGGAAACGCGAGAAACATCGACTCGATCTAGATTAGCTGGCCCACATTGTTTAATCCGATGGCGAGAGTTAAAAGTTCGGCGAACGGAAGAGAGTTGGGCCAACCGCTAAGCGTATCGTGCGGAATACGAAATACGATTGACCCCCATATTTCGATATGTGCGCCGTGTCAGCTGATCGGACGCGTCTCAAATTAAACCACCCGGGTAATCAGGTACCGGTACCTGATATCGGCCGCGTGCTTTTGACGAGGCACCGTTAACTACATTGCTCGTAAAAAACCAGGTCGATTTTAAGATCTGGTTCCTGCAGACAGTCCAAGCGCTGATGATATGGAATCGAGAAGTCGATATTGGCTGCGAAAATGCTCGAAAAATGTGCAAACGGAATTCTTATTATTGTAAAACATCAAGGATTGATGTTTTATAATAAGACTTACCTTTCTAAAAAATACAAAAACATTAACGAAGTTTTATCGCTACACTGGAAAAGAAATCTACCCAAGCAGAACAATAAGTCACGATAACGTCAAAATGATATTAAAATCAATCGAAAATGATTGAAAAATGATTTTTAATGATCATTTTGGAGTTATTTTGACATCATTTTGATATCATAACATGACTTGTTGTTCTGTTTGGGTATATAATAGTTGCATTAATTAGTATTCTGATTTGTTCATTTTTAATCAGAATTCCAATTAGTTCAACCAGACTCTTTGAATTTTGATTATCTCAACTACACAGAGAGAAAAATGTTTGGTATTTGTAACTATAATTATATATTACTATAATTATGATTATTACTACTATAATAATAATAACA